TACTATCTATCTATGTATCTCTATGTCTACTTTTGTATCACTGGTTTTATTTGATTTCCTGCTCCCAATAAGATGCATAGTCAATAATTAATTATATTCACTAAAGGAGGGGACAGAGGTTGAATATTATAGATGATAAAGAAGTTTTCTTGGTAGAACTGTGTCTCAGGAGACGCATTTAAAGAAGACCCCTAGCCTCCCTTAGAGTTCTTTGCTCTCAAGGGGAAAGCAAAGTGTAAAATTAGGAGCCCATGTTCTGGAGTGAGAATCACGACTATACTAATGTGTAATCCTCTGCTAATTAACCTCTCCAACCATTCTTTTCCCCTTCTGTTAAGTGAGGGGAAAATGACACCTTAGTAATAGGAGTATTGTGAGGATTATATGGGAGCATATATATAAATATTTAACATAGAGCCTTGTATTCAATGTGTCAGTGATTGCTTTATCATCACCACCGCCACCACTATCATCCTACTCACCCACTACACAATCACAAAGGCAGAGAGGACAGATTCAGCCTAAACTTTTAAGTCAGCACTGATGATGAATTTTAAACATGCATATTTTTAATTATGCACTATTCTATATACTGATATAGTGTGCAAGGAAAGTGCTCAAAGATAACAAATCTTTATTCTGTAACTATATTACTAATCTATGTTTCTTATATTCTTGGATACATAACCATATAGATACTTATTTTAAAAGATACAGCTCATCACCATGAAATGAGTGTTGTTGTTCAGTCGCCCAGTCATGTCCAACTTTCTGAGACCCCATGGACTGCAGCATGCCAGGCTTCACTGTTCTTAACTATCTCCCAGAGCTTGCTCAAACTCATGTCCATTTAGTCAGTGATGCCATCCAGCCATCTCATCCTCTGTCATCCCCTTCTCCTCCTGCCTTCAATCTTTCCCAGCATCAGGGTCTTTTCAAAGGAGTCAGCTGTTCACATGAGGTGGCCAAAGTATTGGAGTTTCAGCTTCAACATCAGTCCTTCCAATGAATATTCAGAACTTATTTCCTTTAGGATGGACTGNTTCCCGGGACTCTCAAGAGCCTTCTCCAGCACAACCAAAAGCATTAGTTCTTTAGTGCTCAGCCTTCTTTATGGTCCAGCTCTCACATCCATACATGACTACTGGAAAAACCATAGCTTTGACTATATGGACCTTTGTTAGCAAAGTGATGTAGGAAAGCTATGACAAACCTAGACAGTGTATTAAAAAGCTCAGTATGTTTAGCACTAGATATATGTTTATTTTTATTACTGTTTGTATTATAAATTTTCTATGATTCTGCAATTTAAACACTATTCTATTTTATCATGAAAATCACTCACCTTTAAGGAACTGTTTAATTATGACTTGTGCAAAGATGATGCTGGGCTAAGTGCTATGCAACCAAAGCATCCCTGCCCTTTCAGTCTAACATTGACACTGGCGTACAGATCACCATCTTCAGTCAAGACAGTCAAATGTAAAAATGGTTCCTAAGGGATTGTTAGCCTCTGACAGCAGTGAGGACAATATCCAATGTCAACATTGCTAGTTCTAGGAAAGAGGGGAATTACACATAAATGTCACACGCTGTACTAGGCACTTGGACAACAACATGGTTTTCTGAAAATCCCAAGTTTGCTGGTAGGTCCTCCATGAACTTTCTACATGATCCTAAATTTCAGACACATATAGATATTTTATTCTCAACAGCAAGAGTGAGACCCTCATTCAAAGACTATTTAGTTCTTTTAATAACCAAGTGCAGCAGAAAGAAAATGTAATTTTAAAACAGTCTGTCGTGGTTCATGTCAAATGGCCTTTCCCCAAGATTCAAAATTTAGAACTGGTGGGACATAGAGAAAACCGGATGGTTTAGTGTAGTGTTCAGAGAGGCCTGGGTTCACATCCTGGCTCCACCACTATTCAGTCTCTGCAAACTTCAGTTTCTTCTCTAAAATGGGAAAATAAAACCTGCTCTGCAGAGGCTGTATTATCAACAGTGTATCTCAGGTCACCAGCAAACTAGCCGATCCATAGTGGGCATTCATTCAACAAGTGTTCTATGCCAGGCTCTCCCCTGAGCATCTGTTTGTAAAACTGTGAACAAAATAGATACAGTCCCTACACTTAAGAAGCCTGTAGGCCAAGAGTGGATCTATGCTGCATGAGATTTACATAAAGGAAAAAAAAGCAAAAAAACTCCATAAACACAAGTGTTGGTACAAAAGTAAACATCTATTTAGAATGAGAAAAATTTTACAACAAATTACTGTAGTAATTGTAGTCTTAGAGATTCAGATTATTTTCTGAGGTCTCTCCAAGGAATTTATCAGAAATACTTAATTAGAAACATTTCCATGCATTGTCTGGCTCCCCACTCCACCCAGGACATTTCATGGGGACTCAGGCCAGTGAGGAGTCCTGAAGTTTTAGGATCCTTAGGATCACAGTCAGTCTGCCTTGGTGGCAAGCCCCAAAGTGGTAGGTCTTCTTTTCACTTTTGTAATAATTATATTATTTGTAATTTTCAGAGTGGTTTCTATATTGACTATCTTTAACTTTTTATTTCTAAATTATGAGGAAAGGCTTCAAGTCTCCTATCCAGGCCATTTTGGCTTCAGTTATACTTGGAGATATAGTCTTTTTGCATGAAAATATTACTAACAGGATCACTACTGTCAATTTAATAAAAACAGAAAACTTAAAATGTCATTCCACCTTCTGCAAAGTTGGCATGCAAATATTCTCCCTGGGCAAGTATCTGAACTTCAGTAAGGTACCAGTTTACTGATACTGATTTCTTCTAAGTGCCCTCCTAATATCTGGAGAAACCTACAGATGCTTCACTTAATAAATTATTACCTTTATTCTAAACCTTTTCTCCTTTGTGTTGCCAGGCTTAGATTCTGGCTCAGGCATTAGTTTAATCTAGTAATATTACAATTGAAATTAGAATTCTATGACAATTAATAGGACCTTGTTTTGCAGGAACAAATATATTAGTGTAGTTTTTATATGACTTCTACGGGGAAAACCTGACACTATGCAAATTGATAACAGTCAATGATTTGTAAGAATAAGTTGAAGATATAATGATTGAAAAGAAAATAGGAGGAAAATGAATTTTAACATGATCTGTTACTCCAACCATACAAAACATGAATTCAAACCATTAGAAATACAACTGGTAAATATCTTCTTTATGAAAGGTAATAACTTTTGTTAATATTTATATTCTCTCCTAAGAATAATGAGCGTAAGATATTATTTCTAAGAGAGTTTCAAGATTGTCAAAAAATAACAAGAAAATAACAATCACATAATATATTTCAAGGAAATAACACTCATACAATCTTTTTAGCAATGAACTATAAAGTTGACATATGTTAAGCACCCAATAAATAATGTGGAGTGAATGAATATTAAATAATTTAGAAGAGCAGGAGTGTAGAAAACTTGATACTTAATATAAAGATGTGCTGGGGAAAAATAAAAAAATATTTTAAAGTACTAGGTGAATCAAATGGAAATTAATTCTAGCCCAAATGGACAATGAATAAACTCAGTCAGCCGCAACAAAAATAAATGAGGACAAAACTGTCAGCCAGGAGCCTTGAGAGTTGAGGGAACGCCACCTGCGAACACGGGCCGTGCCCACACGACTTCCCACAGTTGTTCTCCACAGCAAGTTAAATAATTTTCAGCTTACTCCTTTAAAGTACTTAAAAAAAAAAGTACTTTAAATTTAGGTTTTTGTGGTTTTCATAAGGTCTTTAAGTATATTACCTGTTCTGTCTTCACAATAATTCTCTAGAATGTCTATTTTACTGCTGCTGAGAGGGAAATGACTTATGCAAGACCTTAAGTTAATTAGTAGCAGGGCCAATGCCAAAGCCTAGGTGTCCTGCTTCCAAGACCCAGGTCCTGTCCCCTGTGGTACCATGGAGGTGAGCAGCCCTATGTGACATTCCTGACCGCCAGTTATCCCCCAAAAGAGCAATCAATGATTCCAAGCAGATGGCTGAAAAGCAGTCACACTGAAGGACAAAATGTATGCAAAGCAATTTGGAAACATGTAAAGCATTTCAAAAAATAGGTAGCTCATTCCTGGGATTTTTTTTTTAAAAAGGAAATAATTCAAACAAATTAAAAGTTATAGGACCAAAGTGAGCCATTACATTATTTATGGCAGAAAGGAAGGAGGAAAGGGTGTGAGGGAGGGAAGAAGGACCAAAGAGGGAGAAAAGAGAGGGAGGCGGGAGGGAGGAAAGGAGACAGGAAAGGAAAAACAAGCTAATTTCTATTAAAACAGGGAGATGACTAAGAAAATCATATTGCATCCAACTCATACTGTTAAGGTTATTATGAAAACTAAAAATAACATGGAAAATGTTAGAGTGACTTTAGCTGAGAAATATATTTCGAAAAGCTGGGAGGGAAAACAGAAATACGAAAACAATGTCCTCTGATTGTGGAGTTTTAAAGTAAATTTTCCTTAATGGTGCTAGTACTTTATTAAATAGCTTTAACAATAAACAAGTTTATAGTTCACGTGCAAATATTTCAGCCAAAATGTGACTGAAACCACGCACAGATTTGAAAATTTAATTTTTGACCAATGATTGGGCATTCCTTAGATACAGACGCATGTGATGTACCAGGTTTCTTCAATACATGCCGTCCAAAAGCACCGCCTTCCACTTGTGTCCCTTCCACCATGTCTTCCTGACCCTAAGCCCTTCTTCATCTTTGTTTCTAAAGTTGTCCAGCTATCTTATTTGCTTCCTATCATGTGTCTGGACTTTCAGTGGCATCAAAGAACTGCTATGTTAGATTAGAGGGGGGAACAGAATGAGATATTGGGCCCCTGGCTGTCTCTCAGCGACATTAGGCCCTGCTATCTGCCTCAGAAAGAAAAAGCTGACTTCTCTTTTAAGCTACTGAATCTGAAGAACAAAGGTTGAAGCTCCCTTAAATCAATCATTCCAAAGGTAGATGGCCTTGTACGAGATAGAGGGTAACCTTGGAAAATCACAGAATGACGGTTGTGCAAGGTTGCAGGGCCCCGGTTGCACTCGCCCCACCAGCTGTGGTCCAGTGGCCCAGCAGACCGCCTTTATGAGCGCTGGACCAAAGCACGCGCATAGATATTCCAGCCTCATCAAGAGTTATGTCAAACTCACTCTTTTGGAGCAACATTTTTAACCTGGTTACTTGGCAAACAGGATCAAGTTATAACTATAAATACTGCACAAAGAACCTCCCCCGCTTTCTCTCCATGAGAATGGAGAGGCTCTCTTCAGCCCAAAGCAAAGATAACCCTAGATACCTTGATAGCCTATGCAAATAGCAGCAAAGGTGAAGGAGACACTGTGAAACACCAAGGTCACCTTGGTGTAACAACATGTGTATATAGCATGTGTATATAGATGTATGGGGAGATCTATATTTCCAGAAAACTTGCTTGGAAAACTACTGCAAAGATACGTGTCTGTTTTATCACAGGTTATGTCACCTTTCATATAATCACTGAAATATGCAGTAGAACATTTATTTCAAAGAAAATTCCCCCTCCTTGTTTTTTCCTATTAGAACTGTTTAATCACTGTTAGGACTGGTTTAATACATTACACTGATTTCAACTCACTTTCCCTTTAGTGTCTGATGACATATTTGCCAGGCAGCTAGTTTATGGCTCAGAATCTTACATGTGTTGAGTGCATTACAGTTGACACATCAGAAGTGCACACCCACCCACAGGAGGCGTACTACTGATCGCTGGGGCTTTTATGGATGAAAGCATGAGGCTACCAAGGGATTAAGTGATGGATTAGAATAAGCAAAGAATGCCTCCCTTTGAATCCTAGCAATGCACAATTGCTTTTGTTTCAAATCAGGAAAAATGCAGTTAAGACCCGGTGTGATTCCAGCCCCAGAAAAGTCTAGAGCAGCTGAGACCACTTCAGGTGGAGTCTGTCCCAGGCAGTACTGAGAGACCTTCCAGAAACTCGAACCTCAGGTTGGAGGCAGGGGAGGAGGCTACAGCCTGAACACTTTTTTGAAAAGAATATTCTTTAAGGATCTTTAGGAACATTGGGGTGCTTGCTAAGTGGTTCCAGAATCTTCCAATGAAAACTGAGTAAGAACAGGAGGTAGTTAGAGTTAATAGCTGGAGACATCTACTTCTTCAGAAAAGCTTTCATGAAATTGTTTGATTTAGCTCTTCTTGCATAAAGCAAGGAGACATCAGTTTTGAAATCCTCACCCCTTACATTAATGTCTATCTTTCCCCACCCTAACAGAGTTTATGGAGCATTTTTAATGTCCATAGGATCTATTAGGTTTGAACTGTTGTTCATATTTTATTGTTTTTGACCTACAAAAAGGAACTTCTGGATAATTCAACCCAATATAATAAAACACCTCCGGGTGAGCAAAAAAGAAAAAGCTAAGGAACAGGTTGAAAGCTGACTTTGTGGGTTGGAAGCAGTAAGGGTTTGTGCTCTTGTTCTAGAAGCACCCAAATAGAGGAGAAATTGGCAGATTTAGGAAGAGACATGAAGAGGCAAGCAAGTCAGGTGCTGAGAAGAGGAGAGGTGAACAGACTACATCAGGAAGGAAGTTCTGGCTTCCCAGGACAGGAAAGAGGCCTTGGGCATTAATCTGGCTTGCGTGCGCACTTAGTCGCTTCAGTTGTGTCCGACCCGTCACCATCCCGTGGACTATAGCCCGCCAGTCTCCTCTGTGCCTGGAATTCTCCAGGCAAGAATACTGGAATGGGTGCTCTGCCCTCTTCTAGGGGATCTTCCTAACCTAGAGATCGAATACAGGTATCCCACATTGCAGGTGGATTCTTAACCATTTCAACCACCAGGGAAGCCCTTAACTGGCCTAGAGCCATTAATTGGAATCCTTAACCTTTGCTTCTCCTTCTGATACACCTCGTGGTTCTTTACTGGCTTAATTTAATGTTTTATTTTATGTGGTGCTATATATTTCTCTTTCACACATTTTAGTCTTATTTTCCCATTGAGATCATTGGCTTCTGAGAGCAAGTTCCTGGACTATTTCAGCTTCTCAAGGCAAGGCAAGACAGGCATTCACTGAGTCAGCACTCAGTAAGTACCTATTAAATAGATTGGAGACCGATCATGAGGCTCTGTTTTAAGTGAGCTCAACAGGGAATGTAAACTCCAGGGGAACCAATAATAGCATCCATCTTTAGGCAGTAGCTCCTGGATGCTCTAGTCTATGCTACCTAATCAATATATACATTAGCCCTGCTTCTGACAACAACTTTACAAAGGGGATTATTATTTTTAACTTCATTTTACAGCTGAAGATATGAAGAGATTTCAGAAAGTTTAAGTGACTTGTCAAAGGCCACTGTAGCTTGTACCTCAACTTGAAGCCCAAGTGTGCTGACCCGAAATCCTACACTATTTCCACTGGTTTCTGTTTTGTACCATGCCTGCCACCCTTTTGTAATAACAGTAACAATAGCTAAGGCTTATATAGAGGTTACTCTGTGCCAGGTCCTCTCCTAAAGTACATTCATTCATTCAATCCTTACAATAAGTGGTGAGCTCTGTTATTATCCATTTACAGAATTTAAAGGCTGTGTTATCCTGCATTTCTGACTTAGCACCAAAAGATTCTGTAGAACAGTGAAAGATCACTGCTCAGAGTCTTTATGGAGAGGAAAAAACCCTGTAATCTACATAGTATCTCACCTGCACGCAGCCCCAAGAAGGCCTGGAAGGGAGACAGCGAGAGAAAAGTAAGACGGAGCTTGGACAAGGGCCCTCTGCCTGCCCCTCGGCGATCTCACAGGGGAGCCTTTAAGTTGGAAGCACGGAGGAAGTGAACAGAGAGCAGACTCTGTAATTATTAGAGCTCTCTGGCAGCTTCCCCCTGCATCACCCGGCAATTCATTAATTTAGCCGTGAAAAGACCTTCTACCAGCCAAGTCACAACCTTGTGAGTAATAGCAGTAAAGATTAACAATATTTTCTTCTTACTAGGCTCATTCGAAAGTTTGGCATAACTACAACAGAAATTTCCGCCCACATCAGAAGGGTCAGCTGTCAATCACGTTGGGATCCCACTGGATTGAACCAAACAGATCAGAAAATACAATGGATATACTCAAGTGCCAACAATCCATGGTTTCTGTGCTCGGGTGGTTTGCCAACCCTATCCACGGGGATGGCGACTATCCAGAAGTGATGAGAAAGCAGTTGCCCTCCATTCTACCTCACTTCTCTGAAGCAGAGAAGAATGAGGTGAGGGGCACAGCTGACTTCTTTGCCTTTTCCTTTGGACCCAACAACTTCAAGCCCCACAACACTATGGCTAAACTGGGACAAAATGTGTCACTCAATTTAAGAGATGCGCTAAACTGGATTAAACTGGAATACGGTAATCCCCGAATCTTGATTACTGAGAATGGCTGGTTCACGGACAGTCACGTAAAAACAGAGGACACCACAGCCATCTACATGATGAAGAACTTCCTCAACCAGGTTCTTCAAGGTTGGTTTTACAGTAGCTCAATTTTAAAAACTGTTTTGAATACTTTTGCTATAGGATATTTAAGGTCACCTTTGAATAGGCTGCTGGTATTGTACTTTTCTGTTGTGCAGTGATGACAGAAATTTATGTTACTCCCATGTCCTTTTTTCTTTTTTCCAGTTTCATGTCCTTTTTAAATGAGTTTGAAAGCAAAATAATTTTAGGTTGTAGATATATCCTTAATTGGCAACAAGATGCTGCTTCATTCCTTCAAAAAGAACATAATGCTAAAGGAAAGTGAAAAGAAAGTGTCAGTCGCTCAGTCATGTCCAACTCTGTGCAACTCCATGGACTGTAGCCCACCAGGCTCCTCTGTCCATGGGATTCTCCAGGAAAGAGTACTGGAGTGGGTTGCCATTCCCTTCTTCAGGGGATCTTCCTGACCAAGGGATTGAACCTGGATCTCTTGTATTGCAGGCAGATTCTTTAACCGCGTGAGCCACCAGTAAAGGAGACATGTCCAAAGTTTAAGAGTTAAGATGCTGAAAGCTTTTCTTGATTGTGTTCCTTTTACTCTATTACACGACTCAATGATGAAAAGTCTGAATACCAAGAATGAGCCATGGATGGCTAAGCTGAACAATTTCTATTGTTCCTGGATATTTCTCTAAGCCCTGCTCATCCTCTCATTCCTTTTCCATTACTCAGGGAGTGACATCTGCAGGTGGCTGATTGAAATAATGGAGCAGAAGACAAGCTTTAATTACGATGCTTCCGTCCCCTACAGAGCTGGGCTCCATTTCTCTCCCATATAAAGGAATTCTCGGTGGATCTTTCTACAGCTCTGTAGCTCTCTTTAGAGGTCACAAGCTTGAAGGGAATGCCCTGGGGATCCAGTGGTTTGGACTTCGTGCTTTCACTGCCGAAGCCTGGATTCTATCCCTGGTCAGGGAACCAAGATCATGGCAAACTGCATGGAGTGGCCAAAACAAAACTCACAAACTTCGAGAAAAAAAAATCCCTGGTTCTGTAGGGAGTGTCAGGGAGGTTCCTCAGAGACAGCAAGACACTCCTGTTCTAACCCGCAGGAGGATCGCGTGGAACGAGCTGTGCCAGGCCGGCCCCGGAGCTCGTGCACATGGGGGCCTCCAGGGCAGAGAACGCTGCCCATAGAGCCTGCAGAAGTGGCGTCACCCCCTGGGCATCACCATCCCTCCTTTCACAGGCCCCTAGGGCACCAAAGCACGAACCCCAGGGCCTGTTGAAACATTTATCTCATCAGAATCTCTTGACATCAATTCTACCTTTTAGGAAAAGAAAGTCTGATAAAACCCCCAAAGTGCAGAAAGGAGACATTTCCATGAGAAAATGAAAGCTTTTAAGAACAAAGGTTCATGTTTGATCGAACCATTGTTGTTTTTATTGCATATTTAATTTTTATCTAATTCCTAAACGCTGTTGAAGTTAAAGCCAGAAAATTTCTGAAAGATCATCTGTTTCAATCCTCTTTACTTACTAATGAGAAAACTGAGGTCGAGAAAGCTGCCCAACAGCCCTGCCCAGGAGCACAATAGAGCGAGTCCTCTCCCCTCCTGCCCCTCGGCCCAGTCAGTCCTTCTCTTACATCACTGTGCTTCTGTCTCCTCCTTAAATCTGCATTCACATATGTTCATTCTCAAAGCTGATGTCTCAGACCCCGAGGACTGTTTCATAGAAGACAGTTTGTCCACAAATGGGAAACAAGCCAAGCTTGAAATGAGAAACTCTTGGTCAAAGCTGGCATCTGCATTGGTCCCAAAGGGTTCTGGAAATTACCATGCCCTCCGACACAGATTTGCACACTAAGTTAAGTCTCGTGAATATTTTATTTTTATTTATTTATTTTTTGGCCACGTGGTGCCCCATGAGGGATCTTAGGTCCCTGACCAGGAATATTTAAAATTTGACCCTTTAACTGTGTTGTCCACTTGGGAAGACCATTCTAGTTGAAAATAACTTGCCCCTTTACAAATATAAAAATAAAATTCAAAAAAAATAAATACAATTCCTAGTTGATATAATGGGCCTACAAATTAGGGAAAAGGTTGGTTTCACAATATGCTGCCCCGGCATGTCATTTGAGAAACTGTAAACATGAACCAGAGTGTTTAGGCCTCTGAACATCTGCTTTTGTCCTTCTATACAGCAATCAAGTTTGATGAAATCCAAGTGTTTGGTTACACAGCCTGGTCCCTCCTGGACGGCTTTGAATGGCAGGATGCTTACACCACTCGCCGAGGATTATTTTATGTGGATTTTAATAGTAAACAAAAAGAAAGAAAGCCCAAGTCTTCAGCACATTACTATAAACAGATCATTCAAGAGAACGGTTTCGGTGTGAAAGAGTCCACACCGGATGTACAGGGTCAGTTTCCCTGTGATTTCTCCTGGGGTGTTACTGAATCTGTCCTTAAGGTAAGTGGCTCCTTACAAATTAACTATGCGTGCGTACTAAGTCACGAAGTTGTGTCTGACTCTTTGCGCCCCTATGGACCGTAGCCCACCAGGCTCCTCTGTCCATGGGATTTTCCAGGCAAGAACACTGGAGTGGGTTGCCATGCCCTCCTCCAGAGGATCTTCCCTGATCCAGTATTGGTAGGCAAGTTCTTTACCACTAGCGCCACCTAGGAAGCGCCACAAATTTAACTATAAAGTGGTACAAATAATACACAATATACCTTCATTTTACTCAGTGACATCTAAGAAACAGCTGTCAGATAGTATCAAATACCATGATTATTTGGGGGTTATAAGGGGACATTGGGGAAAGAAGGGAGAGGAAGGGAAGAATTCATGCTTACTGAGAGCTTTTCATACTGCCCTCAAGTTGTATATAGTCTAGAGAGATCTTCCAGTCATTTTTGTGACAGCCATTTATCAGTAGTATCAAAATTACAGGAAACAGATTTTACAGTTTTTTAAAAATTTGTTGGCTGAACCATGTAACATGTAGGATCTTAGTCCCCCGACCAAGGGTTGAACCCACACCCTCGGCAGTGAAAGCATGGAGTCTTAGCCACTGGACCACCAGGGAATTCCCTAGATTGTTGTTTTGCCAGAAGCAAATTACTAGTGGCCCTTCATTTAAGTGATTTATGATAAATTTGGGTCATTTGCCTTATGAGGTCTTTATACCCTAGTGGGGCCTCCTGACTTGCTTCATTCTTCACCTTCTTCAAATGTAACTCAAATGTAACTCAAATGTCAACCTCTCAATAAGGCTTCCCTCTACTGCAAACAGCATACCTTCATCCCCATCACTGCTTATTCTCCCTTCCTGCTTTATTTGCCTATATAGCATTCATCACATCTACCATACTATGTATTTACACATTTTCCTTTTTATCTCCAGCTTTATTGAGATATAATTGACATACAACATTGTGTAAGTTTGAGGAATACAATGTGGTGATTTGATACATCTTTTTATTGCAAAAACATTACCACTATGGCATTAGCTATCACTTCCATACCATCACAGGCAAACCTCATTTCTTTTTTTATGGTAAGAAAATTTAAGATCTTCTTAGCAATTTTCAAGTATAAAATACAATATTATTAGCTATAGTCACCATCCTGTATAATAGACCCCCAGAACATGTTAATCTTAGAACTGGAAGTTTGTACCCTTCAACCAGTATCTCATTTCTCTCCACCCTCTTGCGGAGAAAGTTTGCATTCTAGTCGGAGAAACAGGTAACCAGTAAGGAAAATGTGTAAAGTGGTTACCACAGGATGGCAGTGCAAACTTTCTCCGCAAGAGGGTGGAGAGGTTTGAGGCTTTGCTGCCTGCTGGATGTCTTACTAGAGCAGTTTCACACACATGGTAGGTGTTCAGTGCATAGTGTATGAAAAAGGTCAACTTTTAGACCCAGGTGAGCCCTTAGAAGCCTCTTACTCCAAATTTTTAATTTTATAGCTGAGGAAAGGAAGGCCTATCAATTAATAACAGAAAGTGACTTGCCTAAGGTAACACAAATAGTGGCAGAACTGTAGCAAGCTATCCTTAAGTTCTCAGATGCACGATGTTCTTTCTGAAATAATTTTTCCAAAACTATTTTTGAAGCTCCTACTATGTACCAAGCACTTGACTTCTGAATGTATCTGCATTCAGTATACTTAATCATAAAACCCTCATCTTACAGGCAAAGAAATTGAAGCTTAGGGCGGTTACATAACTTGACCAACCCTGATTTGTCTGTCTCCGACCATTATGCTATAAGACATCACAGTACTTGTATTCTAGAAGCATATGGAAAAACAAGATGTACAAGGGATATGACTAGACAAAAGGGCCCGAACTGTGAGTGACCAAAGTTATGAATCTCAACCCCTATCAGTATTTAAACAAAACTTTAGTAAAGGGGTGATAAAAGGAGGAAAGATACAGGGAGTAATATAAACAGTGACTCACCTTCAGTTTGCGTCCCCTGGAGAGGCACGTACTTACCCAGTGTCTCTCTCCTCTTCCGCATGGCACAGGCAGACCATCTTTTCCCTACCACTTCAAGTAGGTTTATGTTTTGCAAAGTCTAGAACCAGCAAAGACAGGCCCCAAGAGGGAAAGGAGTTCCAGTTTGTAAATAACCCAACCTGCAAGTTCCTGCTTCATGTGAAGACCCATCTGCTCTCCAGTAACTGACACTGTGAATGTCAGCCCACTCTGAGCACCCTACTCCTATTCCTTGGAGCAAGAGCTGATCACTTGGTCAGGAAAAAGTAATGATGTGATCAATCAGACCTGGGCTTCTTGCTCACACCTGGAGCCCATTGAGGAGTCAGCTTCCCTTGCACTTAGGGAATGAGGATGAATGCTTTACCAAGAAAAATTTGGATGGTTTTTGAAAACTCAGCCAAAGGTTGTATGAATAGATGATGAGCAGGCAAGAGTAGATGTGCTCTATAGGAAGACTACAAAGTGAAAATAACATTAAAAAAGTACTACTATGCCTTCCCCAGCATCTGGGTCTATGTATATCTTTAGCTTCTTTAATTCAGAGAAATCCTCTTAATCTCATGGTATTGATAGTTCTGAATAGTTCAGGCCAGTTGCTTTGTAGAATGTGGAACTTTTTTTTTTTTTAAGTCTTTATCAGATTTGTTACAATATTGCTTCGCTTTGTTTTGGTTTTTTGACCAGGAGGCATGTGGGATCTTAGCTCCTCAACCCACACCTCCAGCACTGGAAGGTGAAATCTTAACCACTGAGCCACCAGGGACATCCCCATTGCTTGTAGAATGTCTGCAAGCATGGATTGCTCTGTTTCTTTATTAGATTCAGTTAAGCATTTCTAGAAATAATACTTCATAGATGTTGTTGTGTATACATCATATTAGGAGGCACATAAAGTCAGTTTCTTTCATTACTGAAGACACTAGTTGAAGTAGTAGTCACCAGATTTCTTGATGTGGCATTTGACAGATCTCTTAATTGAAAGGTCCTTTTCCATTTGTAATTAAGAATTAATCTGATGGTGATATTTTGGGACGGTATGAATATCCTATTTCTCAACAACATTCAACCAATGGTCTTAACATTGATTTATGAACCTTGCCTGAATTAGTTATTACTTTGTAGATTGCAAAATTCTAATTAGATTATTTATTCTGTATTTATTAAGTGAATTAAACTCAATGTGTTATAATTCATTGTTGTCACTGTTTCACTGGAGCTTTTGATGCTCAAATTATCTCAAATTTGGCAAATGGGACTCTTTCAAGCTGTTCTTATGTCTTTTTGACATTTCCTTTCCAGTTTTTAAGTATGTTCTTATTTTTCTGGTGCAATATTCACCATGGTCCCCTCATTCCTTTCCTGAGCCAGACTTGAAAACAGTCATTTTTCCAAGGAGTCCAGGATCCTTTTAGTGGAAAATAGAACTTTAGAACCAAGCTCTGGGAGCTAGGGCTGAGGTCAGGGTGCAATACTTTTAACTATTTCTCTTAGCAGATTAATCACACAGTTGCTAAGACTAATGCTTTCTGGAGATTTTTAAAAGTAAAACAGATTTTCATTTGATTGTACCTTACCTTACTGCAAGATTGCCCTTTGTAAATAAATACCCTTTCAATACCATGATGCTCTGAGGTTTCAAAACACTGAAACTGGTTATCTAGGCTAAGGATTTTACTCAAATAATTATATACAGATTTAACTTCATGCTCACATGATCAGTGTTCTCTCAGTTTAATGTTCTAGATAGCTAGTTGGCAGATGGCAAGTGGGCAATGATATGATCTTGTAATTAGACTATGAAAGATGACACATGAGAAAATAATTAGAGGGAAAATATTTACCAAAGGCTAATTACTATTGTTTCCAGGTGCATTTAAATTCAGTCATGGGAAGAAAAAGCACTTTAAAACAAGAACAGAACTTTTACTTTTTCTTATTAATCTTGAACTTGTTTTTCTTAAGCCCTTTTCTGTTTTAATTTAGACTCAATGGCCTAACAGGCAATAATTATAGGGAGAACTAAACCCAAGTCATAAGTACCTTATGTTTGTAGAGTGCTTTAGAGTTGACAGAGCAATTGCCCAGAGTCACGGACTTCTCGCTGTACACCTGTGAGGTGGGTGAGATTACTCTGTCACTAGAGTCGTCAAGCCTGGCTTTTAAAGGGACAGAACTAGAACAGGAGTCCAGGGCTCTCTACTTAGTGGAGGGGCAGAGAATGGAGTCAACCTGGGAGATTCTGGGGGTTATTTTAGGGTTCTCTCCTTTCATACTTCATTACCTTATGTAAGGAGGGTGTTCAGAATCCTGCCTTTGGAGGAATAAATGCCGTGTTCTCACAGGCACGTGGGAAGGGGAGAACTGAATGATGGACATGTGACATTACTTGGATTTTTCAAATGGGAGTGTTAGAGAGACGCATTCAGGAAACTTCAGGAAACGGAAGGGGTCATTTCCTACTCTTTCCCACTGGCCTCTTTTAGGAACTGTGACTGGGGTCCACCAGCCTCCTCTAACCCCAAATGCTAATCTCAGTGAAATCCTCCACAACTGGAATGCTAATTTGCCTTTAATTTATGGCAGGTTTGGAAGGTCCATCTTTTGTGGTTCCTTTTAACTGAGAGAACCAAGCCAATTTCCTGATGCATTTGAACAGAATTACGTGAGAACACCCCACATGCCCCACTCCACCCCCACATTTCCTGGTTTTTAGGACCCAGGAACTGGAAAACATCGTCTTGTTTTCTGAAAGGCAAATTGTTTTGCAAGTCAAGCCCTAGGTGTGGTTCTTTCTCTACATTTTCCTGTCTCCCTGGTAAATTACAAGGGCTGGGAGGAAGGATAATCCATCAGGCCTTTTTTGCTGACATCAGCAGGAAAAGAGCAGGAAGACATAGGTTGTTCTGAAGGACATGTGCACCATTTATTTTCTCTGTTGTGAGAGGCAAAATAAGATCAGGCTCTTCCCTTCTGGTCTGAAGGGGCTCAGACAGTAAAGAATCTGAATGCAACGCAGGAGACCCAGGTTCCATCCCTGGGTCTGGAAGAGCCCCTGGAGGAGGAAATAGCAACCCACTTCCAGCCCGGTGGGCTACAGTCCATGGGGTCGCAGAAGAGTTGGACAGGGCTGAGCGACTGATACACACACTCCCTTCTCGTAGAGGACACATGCTAAGGCTCCGCCTGCCTGTGTGTGCTTGCTTTCACAGCCGGAGTCGGCGGCTTCCTCCCCGCAGTTCAGCGATCCGCATCTGTACGTGTGGAACGTGACGGGCAACAGACTGTTGCGCCGAGTGGACGGGGTGAGGCTGAAAACAAGACCAGCTCAGTGCACGGATTTTGTCAGCATCAAAAGACAGCTTGAGATGTTAGCAAGAGTGAAAGTGACTCACTACAGGTTTGCTCTGGACTGGCCCTCCATCCTTCCCACCGGCAACCTGTCCACGGCTAACCGACAGGCTCTGAGATACTACAGGTGCGTGGTCAGCGAAGGGCTGAAGCTCAACATCTCCTCGATGGTCACGCTGTACTACCCGACTCACGCCCACCCAGGCCTCCCTGCGCCTCTGCTGCGCAGCGGAGGGTGGCTGAACCGCTCCACGGCCGAGGCCTTCCGGGACTACGCCGACCTGTGCTTCCGGGAGCTGGGGGACCTGGTGAAGCTCTGGATCACCATCAACGAGCCTAACCGGCTGAGTGACATCTACGAGCAGTCCAGTAACGACACCTACTGGGCAGCCCACCACCTGCTGATCGCCCACGCCCTGGCCTGGCACCGCTACGACCGGCAGTACAGGCCCGCGCAGCGCGGGGCCGTGTCGCTGTCTCTGCACTCGGACTGGGCCGAGCCCGCCAATCCCTACGCGGCCTCGCACTGGAAGGCGGCCGAGCGCTTCCTGCAGTTCGAGATCGCCTGGTTCGCAGAACCCCTCTTCAAGACGGGGGACTACCCGCTGGCCATGAGAAAGCACATCGCCCTCAAGAATCGGCAAGGGCTCGCGCGCTCCGCGCTGCCTCAGTTCACGGAGGAGGAGAGGAGGCTGGTCAAGGGCACTGCGGACTTCTACGCCCTGAACCACTTCACCACCAGGTTCGTGATGCACGAGCGCCAGAACGGCAGCACCTATGACACGGACAGGGACGTCCAGTTTCTGCAGGACATCACCTGCCTGAGCTCCCCCACTCGCCTGGCCGTGATGCCCTGGGGAGAGCGCAGGGTGCTGCAGTGGATCCGGAGGAACTATGGAGACATGGACGTTTACATCACCGCCAGTGGCATCGATGACCAGTCCCTGGAAAAGGATGAACTCCGAAAATACTACTTAGAGAAATACATTCAGGAGGCTTTGAAAGGTGAGGTTCGAGGGCCATTTCCCTCGAAGTATATGACATTCCCAGGTAATATGAACCAAAGAATGAGGGGCAACAGGCTCATTAATGACAGTCTATTATGGGCTTAGAAAAAGGCCCTTGTAAAAACTGTAGCTTACTCTCAGGGATAGGAAGGATATATTGTATTGTATCTAGGTTTTAAACAGAAGGGTGACAAGATCCAACTCACACCAAAAGAATTCCTGCTCTTTTGTGACTACACCGTAAAGGAGCAAGAATTGATAGAATTGCACTGGTCTGGGTAAGGATAATGGTGGACTGGGTCAGGTTATTAAGAGTGGTGAAAGTGAAGTTGCTCAGTAGTCTGACTCTGCATACCCCATGGACTGTAGCCTAGGAAGTTCCTCCACCCATGGAATTTTCCAGGCAAGAGTCCTGGAGGGGGTTGCCTTTTCCTTCTCCAATTAAGAGTGGAGACAGTGAGAAGTGGATAGATTCTGGATATGTTTTGAAGGTAGTCAACAGGATTGGCTGTGTGTATGAATAGAGTCAAAGATGATTCCAACAGAGGAGGTGCTGTAAGTTTGTTGACAGAAGGTATGAAAGAATTGAGTAGGAAAGTGAGAGTGAGTGGCTGGGGAAACCAAGTGCAGTTATTGGGCTGTTATCTCACATCTGAGCTCTGGAATCAAGATAAATAGCAATATTTTTCTGCTTTTAACACTGTGAACAAGTTGATAGTAAGTCCTTTGACCTTTATGCCTCCAATTCTTAAATCTGAGTTTCCTGCAGGTGTTTTTGTATTATTAGAGATATGTTTTACTTAAATCTTTAAAAAATTACACTATACCTATATTCACCTTCTCAAGAAAGATCATTGATAAAAGAATGTCAAAAAACCTTTAATGAAAATGTTTTATGAGCATGAGTTTTAGACTGTTTTCAGTGAAAACTAAATTCTTAAGGATATCTAGTAGTTCACATGTGATTAATGTTTATTTTTGGTATTTTTCAGCATACCTGATTGATAAAATAAAAATCAAAGGCTATTATGTATTCAAACTGACTGAAGAAAAATCTAGACCCAGATTTGGATTCTTCACACCCGATTTCAAAGCTAAATCCTCAATCCAGTTTTACAACAACCTGATCAGCAACAATGGCTTCCTTTCTGAGAACAGTAGCCCTAGATGCAGTCAGGCTCAAAGAAACACGGAATGTATCGTCTGCTTACTTCTTGTGCAGAAGAAACCGCTGATATTCTTTGGATGTTGTTTCTTCTCCACCCTGGTTCTACTGTTATCAATTACCATTTTTCATAAGCAAAAGAGAAGAAAAATTTGGAAAGCAAAGAACTCACAGCACATACCGTTAAAGAAAGGCCACAACAGAGTTCTTAGCTAAGCTGATCTTATTTCTGTCTGCAGGATGGAAAAGTTTAAAAATTCACTCCAGTTCCATATACTGGTACTTACAGAAGATACACCTATATTGTAGAAAAAAAGACAACTTGAGGATTTAGTGATAGCCAAGGTAATGACAATCACGGTCTCCATTGTGTGGTTCAAATTTTCCCTTAAAAGGTGTTGACATCACTGAATTCAGTTCTTGGATCTAAGGTAAAGGTTTCCCTACAGTAAGTTTATGAGGATTATGATACATTGTTTCATGGAGTTTGATGAGCTGTTTCCTATCATTATTCTCTAGCTTTCCTCTATTCATACCAGTAGTTACTTAGGATAAAAGAAATTGTTTTGAGAGTACAACTTTGTTAAGACTCCACAGCAGAGACTGTCATTGATAAACTTCTGTCACTTTTTAGGTGCTTTCCCCTTTGGTCAGAGTAGTTCTCAAATGGAAAAAAATAAGGTTAAGAAGTAGTGTTTGTTTATAGCCAGTTACAGACTCTAAAGCACATCAATCCCTCAGCTTTTCTCAAGAGAAATTAAAACTGAGCATTTATAAAACATCTCATTTTATGAGATCTTTTATCAGATGATTTTTTAAAAAATAACATCTCTAGTAACTCATGTAAACATCAGAGGACAAAGATTAAAGAGAACTAGACCCAACTGCCTGTGAAGACAGAGAAGTCATTTAATCTCACAGTACAGCAACTTCTTCAAATTGGTATTATTCCTCACCTGAATCTTAGGAGGTAACAGATGTGGCAAACATTCTAAGATATGAAGTTTTTTTTATATTATCGAGTTATCAAATTACCATTTATCCCATAAGACTTGCTCTCTCCCCTGAAGTCCTTCACTCATCTAACACAAGCACACATGGACCTCTCAAGGTATAGAAGGCACCTCCCAACTGTGGACACAATTCACAGTATTGGTGGCCTAGTAACTATTCTTACATTGCAACCTTTGAAGCTAGGATTAAGTAAATTCTTAAAACTGAATTTGCAGTTTGATTTTTTAAATTCTGTAAACATTCATTCACTGTATTCTAAATGTTGGGAGGAAGAAAACCTGAATCTAAACCCATTTATACCCATTCTTTCCTTAGGTGAGTCAATATTTAAGGATTGTCTCCTCCTCTGGAAGTTTGACTTCCTGAGTCAAAGGAAAGCTTATTTCCTGCTGAGATACTAATTGATAACGGCATTAAGTTTCAAAGATACAGACAACACAGTCAATTCAAACAAATGCAAAAGTGATTAAGACATTAATATTCTTTCTGGCTGGCCAATTCAAATAGTAAAATTTTAGATATTTTTCTTGTCTTTTTGTTCCAACTGCATCCTTCCTCCAACCTTAGCAGCTTTTATTTTCCAAGAATTTTTTACATTAGTCTGAGAACCACTGGAGAAGGGAACAGCTACCCACTGCAGTCTTCTGGCCTGGAGAGCTACAGTCCAAAGGGTCGAAAAGATTCAGACACAACGGAGTGACTTTCACTTGAGGGCCACTTAGTTATCAGGCTTGAGGCTATACATGATTACAGCAACTAGTTTTTTAATCCTAGATTATCAGTTGAGCAACTCAACATCCAAGGTTTTGAAAAAGAAATCCATATTCAGTCATAAGAACAGACTTGGAATTAAGATTTTTTTCTTGTCCTGTGTTTTGATTATCTTGTATTCAGTTTAAGTCTTTACATTTAGTACTTAATGTATCTTTTAAACTTGTCACCTTGAGTCACTCTTTGCAACTCTATGGTCCCGCCATGGGGTTCTCCAGGCAATACTGGAGTGGGTTGCCATTCCCTTCTCTCCAGGGGATCTCACCGGGTCTCCTGCATTGCAGGCAGATTCTTTACCATCTAGCCACCAGGGAAGAGAAGGTTATCAAGAGTAAAGCCCCTAATTCAATGCTGTCCTCCCTTTTTTGCCACCTGGAATTTTACTAGTCTTTAAGCCATCATCATACATGAGTCCCTAGGTACATATTTTAATCTGGCTCATGCTGTTACACCTTTCAGGTTTTTCTTAAATTCATTTCAAAATCATAAATGGGGATTTTCCTGGTGGACCAGTGGCTAAGATTCCATGCTCCCAATGCAGGGGGTCTGGGTTCAATCCCTGGTCAGGGAACTAGAACCCACATACCACATCTGAACAGCCTTTGCCACAACGTAGATCCTGCATTACCAAATACATGTGTTTTTTTTTTTCTTTAATCAAAAAAAATGATAAAGAGTCAGTTAGGAACTGTTGGCAGCTTTTGACAGGATCTTTTAATTTACCTTTCGAAACTTGAAGAACATCTTAAAATGTAGTTTACTTTGTGTATTGTTGCATTCTCCACATTCACTTCAACAACCCTTTCACTACCAAGTCTGATATATATGAAGTATCACAATTATGGTGTTTAAAGAGCCTCTGGAAATTGAGGTCAGTAAATTATGACTAGGTGTTTTAATTCTCAATGTAATTTATTCCGAATAAACTGGATTATGCTGACTATTTATATTCAATTTAAAGAACTGTGGAATCTGAATGTTTGGTGTTTTAACTGGGTTCTGCCAACATCACATCCCTCCATCCTCCCAAACTGCATGCCAAGTGGGCAATTTACTCCCAAGTACGTTTTCTCATTAGAAAATGTGGGCTGCTACAGCTCAAAACTGAGGATGCACTTACATGCTCATCCATGCACGGAAAGCTTTGCTCAACCACATCTAAATTATTAAACTGAAGTAACACCTTAGCTACAACCAGACTGCCAACAGTTACCCTTGAAAGTCTCCACACTTCACTTCCGGTGTCACACACTCCCACTGCTGCTACCACTGCCTATATACCGACACTCTTCAGTACGAACACCTCTATCCCTCTGCAACAGTGCCACTTGAAAGTTTCAACCCTCAAATTCAATGTTTAAGTTCTGTCAATACCTTAAAAACATCTTTCGAGGTCCATTACTGTTACTCAATCTCCACAACCTGAAATCTCCCTGGCAATTTGGGAACCAATCACTCAGTAAACAGCCATATGCAAGACACTGTTCTAAGAACTTGGAATACCCCAGGGTAGACAAGATCACACCCACCATGAAGGTTAGCCTCTTAGCAGGAAAAAAGTACATAATTAATACCCAACAATTATAAACATTATCGACAAAAACTGGAGCAGGGCATGCTAGGATGGACATGAGGAATGAGCACAACAGGCTTCACTGAGAACATCTGACTACTAACCTGTCACTCAAAGAAAAAGACAACTTAATCATCCAACGCCAACCCCAAAGCTCATCTCAAAATAACTCAAAGCAAAATCTTTATTTACAATTTCACCCATCTCTTAAAAATTTAACTTATCATCAAACCAATGATTAACTCAATATAAAATTAATTTCATTTATTTAAACCAAGATTAGTAAGCCCACAGATTTTTCTGATGGACTAGACACAGTATATAAGACAAAGTTAAAAATGTTTTGCCTGAGAAATTACAGAGTTTCTAGCAAATGAGATGGGGGAGGACTACAGGTTTAGGGGCAACCCTACTGAGTTAAAACACAGTATTGTACAGTAGTATATCTGAAGTATGACACATGGAATGGTTCTTAAGTTTTTTTTAAAGCTATCAAAGACTAGGATATAGAAGTGGCTGAAATTTGGGTATAACTGAGAGAACATTAGATTACAGCAACCATGTTTATCATAAATACAAATTAACTCCATCTTTTAATTCTTACTAAGACAGTATCACTTCTCAGCTGCTTTTTCAGTTACTGTGACTCAGGCATTTGCCTCACAAATATTCCAATCTACGCCACTGCAAAATTAGGGCATCGCCTAAAGTTCTTCCCACGATAACCATATTCCTCTTGCCTGAAATGTCCTTGGTATTCCTTCAAGCCCCTTCTGCCATTAAATCTCGCTAACAACAACAAAATCAACTCCTATTCCTTTGGTTATTGTTAACATACTAGAACTTACTTAATTGTTTACTAGCCAAATAGTTTGAAATGATAATCAACAGAAAAAAATCTCAAATCAAGAGTTTTTATTGTCTCTTTAAAATATCACAACTGAGTCCACAGAACCATCTGCTATCTTGTTTCTGAAGCAGGATCACTGTAAAAAAGAAAAGAAATAGTCTGTAATAATTCTCCATATTCTTGTCCAGAAAAGTTTTATTCTCAATCATGTAAAACATACTTTCTGCCTTTGCTGCAACTACAGTTTAATTAATTAGACCCAACTAAAGCAATAAAATTATACAGATATTACAAAAACCCACCTGAGATCTTATTCATCAGCCTGCTGAACTGTTCCTTTTTCAGAAACATAGATACCATCCAAAAATTTTCTGATATCCTTGTTTTTAACTGTGGTGGCTTGCTGAATCAAAGCAGCTATAAGGGTGAAAAAGATAAGGCAATTATCAGCCAAACCCAACCCAAGTATTTCATCACATGCTGTACTTTATAGCCTTTAATTAAGATCCCCAATATTAAAAAAAACCCCTCACCAAATGAACAAATACCAGATATTTTCAACTCCACGATTTAGATAGACAAGATTTTATTGGTATTCATTATGCACAGTAAACATACAAACCTGAATTTGACACAAGTTCAATGTCATTTCCTTCAAGAATCAACTCATCTTTCTGGGCTTGAGATACTGAACAGGCAACCCCTAAAATATAAGAGGGCATTTGCATAGTGTCAACATAAAATAAGATTTGTAGAATACTTAAAATGTTTAAATCAAGGAGAAATTTATTTGATTTAAAATTTCACACACCAAATAAAACTATGTTTTATAATAGAATCTGAATTATCTGGGCAAATTTTGTATTCCTGGGACTTCCTGCTGGTCCTGTAGCTAACACTCTGGGCTGTCAATAAAGGGGGACTGGATTCAATCCCTGGTCAGGGAACTAGTTCCCACATGCTGCAAGTTAAAGAGTTTGAATGTTGTGACTAAGAATCTCATATCTAAATAAGCAAAAACTAAGACTCAGCCAGATAAATAAGCTTTGTATCCAATTTATTTCTTATTTCTATTGTATATGTTTGGTATTCCTCAAAGCTCATTTTTTGGGACTTCCGTGCTGATCCAGTGGTTAAAACCTCTATGATGCCAATGCAGGGGGTGAGGGTTCGATACCTAGTGGGGAACTAAGATCTCACAAGCAAGACTTCCCATTCCTCCCCAATTCAATAGAATAAAAAAGCAGAATCAAAGAGCACTAAGTTTTAAAATTTTCTAATGTTTCAGTATTAGAAGCATCAATTATGTATCAGAGAAGAACTATTCTTGTTTTTTTACTTTTTTTTTCATTTATTTTTATTAGTTGGAGGCTAATTACTTCACAACATTGCAGTGGGTTTTGTCATACATTGACATGAATCAGCCATGGAGTTACATGTATTCCCCATCCCCAGAGAAGAATTATTTTAAGTGCACTTCTACTTTAACTAGTTTAATCATGAAGCGTTCCCAATTTTACAGATGAGTAAAATGAGCTAATAAGCCCAAGACCGACAGAGCTGAGATTTGAGTCTAGGAAATATGTTATTAACCACTATTTAAATTCTTTTTCTGGATTTCACTTTATAAAACCAATAATAGGTCTCACGGCCTGCAAACTACCCCAATTATAAGCCATCAGGAATCACAATTGGTAAAAACATGATATAAAGCCATAATCAAACTGGGTAATTCTGAAATAATCTGGCCTTAGTTATAACTAACCTAAAATATATTTAAGCCTCCACAAGCAGAAAAAAAAATTATGAACCATACCTGGCCTCATTCGAACCCTGCGTATGTATTTTTCACCCAAAAAATTTCGGATTTCCACAAGAGAACCATTCTCCTGAATGACAACGTTGATGGGGAAGTGGGCATACACCGACCTCATCTTGTAACGGAAGCCCTAGGTTTAAATGAACAAACTATTAGTGATGCTGAGAAATTTTAACAGGATACCCAGTTTTTCTCTGAAAACCAAGTACGAACTGCCCCTTTGTAAAGAATATTTACATATTTGTCAGGACTGTCTCCCTTTTTGCACCTAGAAAAGAATGACCAAATCTCTAGAGACTTTAGAGGAAAATTTCCTCCCCCGTGACAAAGGAAACTGAAAACTGTTCTCACATACTCATGTCAAGGTTTTATAAAGTAACCCACACCAAGCCTTATAACAACTGTACACAGAAACATGTTTCTGTTGTCTCTTTGCTGGACTGAAGCACCCATGTTAATGAAAAGTGTTTTAACACCGCCTATGCCTTTCCAGGTGGCTCAGTGCTAAAGAAACCACCTGCCAGTGCAGGAAACATGGGTTTGATCCCTGGTTGGGAAGGAAAACTGCAAACAACTACAGTATTTCTGCCTGGGAAATCCCATGGACAGAGAAGCGTAGTGGACTACAGTTCCCAGGGTTGCAAAAGAGTTTGAGACCACAGCAATTTGACCACCATGCCCACAGTAAACAACGCTAGTTTCTCATAAAGAACCCCAAAGCCCTTCATCTTGGGTATCAAGGCTAACATACTGAATTACTAAGGTACACCAGATAGCAAGAATTAAGGATACAAAGGCACCCACACTCAAGGAACCCACCCTGGTATGTGTTTAAGGAAATGGACATGGAGTTCAGAAATTAGATCCACCTTTTTCTATCCCCATAGGAGTAGTGACAGGCACCAAACAAGAAACCAAAGTCCAGCCCATGTGTTAATTTTCTGTAAACATGCACCTTGAAAATGAGACAATTTGTGTAGGAAAAAAAAAACCCCATCAGCAGACTATCAAAGACTACCTAGTCTTTACACACACACTTAATCCCAAGACCCAAGAATGCCTATTGGACACATTCACCAACATTACCTCTTCCCAAGTACTAGAGCTCAAGTACGTCACTAAATTACATGCATAATCTATTCTCTGCAGCAAACATTTATGTTGCATACGTGAAGTACAGCTGAGAAACCTCCCCTTCCAAGACAAAGTAGTCTGAGGAATCTGCTTACCAGTGTAACACCCTTGATCATGTTCTGTACGTGGCTACAGATTGTGCGAACAGTGGCCAGTTCCTTTCTGTTTCCCCACCATTTGTCAACACGGAGCTGTAACAGAACAAAAAAAACTTTAGAAAATTCTTTCCAGAAATAAGCAGGCTTAGAAAAAAGTCCATTTATTCACAACAATCACTGTAAATTCTAGTACTTGACCTAATTAAAAAGTACCACTTGTCAAAAAAAAAAAACCACAAAAAACACACCAAAACACTATCTCAAACCTATTTTTATTACAATGCATTACAGGTACACTATTTCACAAAGGAACGACAACGCAGAAACAAAAGTATGGCACAAGCTGCATTAAACGTCAATCCTGGAATATTATCAGGTTTAAGACCCACTGCTGCGTCCGTAAGATTTTTACAAAACAATCAGGAAAAAAATAAACAACTTTTAACAGTATTATCAAGATCTGCTACGAATCATTACTACCCTGCTCCACCCTGGTCTGGAGTTTTTCTAATCCACTTTGTTCAGAATTTGATCTTCCAATTTTGTTAAAGCAACAACACTGAAACCAGCTACAATTCTGGATACTCAACTTGAAGCTGAAACACTGACTCTCAATTTCGTAATTTTAAAAGCAACCCATCTGTTACTCTTAAATCACAGCCTTCCAAACAAGCAACTGTGCCCCAAACAAACGAACAAAAAAACTCACCCTCTTCTTTTTCTTTCCAAGGAGACTGAGTTCTACATTGATGTGATTGAAGTCCCTCCGCAGGGTGCCTCTGGGGCCCTTCACAATAACTGTCCGTCCCTTCAAGGTAATGTCGACTAGGAGAGAACGTACTCGTGAGGCCTCGGAACAATGTATAGAGCATGTAGTAAAGACGTAAGAAAAACGCAAACACCGAGTCTCGTACCATTTTCTGGGATGTCGACAGTCTGATTGCTGAGAATGGTCTTCATTCTGAAACACAAACACTTGGGGTAAGAAGGCCGCTAACGACCAAACTCCACCACACGGAGCTCCACTCCTACCGGAGACCGCCGGCAAAAATACGGGAGGACCCGAACCGACAGCTGTCCCCGCTGCGCCCTGGTATGGAAGGAGCAGCTCCCAGGCGCCTGTTATAAGCCCAGCGGGCGAACTCCCCGCTCAGCGCATCCCTGGGAGTCCTGTCAAGCAGGCGCCATCCCGGCAAGACTGAGGAGCTGGGGTAGGCCTGAAAGCCCAGTACAGGGCTCGAATTCAAGCGCAACCAAATTCATATGGCGTTCACTGTGTGGGAAGACAACCACGATAGAGTTCCCGAGCGCCACAACCACGCCGCTGGCCTTCCCAGAGCCGATGGCTTCAGATTCCCAGAGCCCACCGATTACAAAAACCATCTCACCTCGCAGTAGATGCGGCAAAGAGAGAGCGTCTTTCGTCATCACGCTCTTATAGTCCGTATAGGGCTGCGTGTTGGGTCATCAGTGCGCGACGCCGCTAGACTAAAGCAGCCAATCGCGGAGCTGCGCGAGTTCCACCGGGTCAGGGTGGTTCAGCTTGTCATAAGTCTGGCGACGGTTTGTCCTTTTCTCTTTTCCCGGGAATTACTGATTATTCGTCCTTGCTAGGAAAAAAAGAGAGAGATGTCTCTACGCTGCGGGGGCGCGGTCCGCACCGTGGGCCCCCGGGTGAGCAGCTGGGGAAGCAGGGTGCGGGCGTGGGGTAGAGAACTCCCATCCCTTTAGAGTGCCCAATAATGCCAGCATTTACTGAATGTTTACTTCTAGCCAGGTTTTATTCTAAACATTTTTCGTGTGGTATCTCGTCTAATTCTTTAGACACCCCCACGAAGTTAAGTCTCTGGTAGTGACTTGTTTGTAAGTATCTCTGGCTGACGCTAAGAGCTGTCTTTTTTTTTTTTTTTCCTTGCATATCAGTGATTTGTACTAGACACCAGTTTGGACAATTAGAACCCCAAATCTGTGCTGTAAGCTTGAGCAGGAGACTTGGGCAAGAACAGTAGCAATCGGGCAGCATCTTAATAGGCACACTTTTTTTTTTTTGGTACTCTTTGAATTTTATAGTGTTTTGGCTGTCTTGTCCATGTGTGTGTTCAGATCCAGAAGCTGATGGCTTCTTTCGGTCAACAGATACATATTGAGTGACTTCCTTGATCAAACACAGAGTGTAACGTAGAAAATTGGAATAGTGAGTTTGGTTTTCCTACTGCAAGTTCTCTGAAATCAGCTGGGTTAAACCTTAAGCCTCTTAAGTTTTAACACATGTGTTTATCCAAGGCAGAGATAATTTACTTCAGATTTTATTTAAACTTCCTTGACTCGTCAGGAATAGAAAATTCAAAGCTGTAGCATCTTCTCCTGTTATTGCAGTTTATACTTGAAAGACAAACTTTTTAGTCCTGATACGGGTAAAGTGTGGCATGTTTTGTTAGCCAGTTCCAGAAGTTTCCAAATCTATTTTAAACGTAGACAGAAATAGTTAATTCCTATCCTTCTTTGAGTCCTCCTTAACCTTAGATTCCAAGCTTCAACACAGAGCTTGTAAATAGTTTAACGTCATTTCTGAATCAGTTATCTGGCTTACTTTTCCTTTTAGCTATATAAATAGGTTAAAACTAAGTTATTACTAACTCTACTAAATAAATTTTTGCCTGGGAAATCCCATGGACAGAGGAGCCTGGTGGTCTATAGTCCATGGGGTTGCAAAAGAGTCAGAGACGACTTAGTGACTAAACAGCAAACTAAATAAATGTCATAATGAACCCTTTGTTTAGGTATTTGGAAGATATTTATGCAGCTCTGTTAGAGAAGTAAGTTCCTTGCCAGATGAAAAAAAGGAATTTTTACAGAGTGGACCAGACCTTCAAGAATTTATATCTGGTGATCTGGCCGACAAGAGTACTTGGGATGAATATAAAGGAAATTTAAAACGCCAGAAAGGAGAAAGGTAATTGAAAATTTGGGGTAATTTTAACATGCCATTTCTTCATAGTGCATCATTTTCAGATATAACCAAGCCTTGGAATACATTTTTAATCAGCTTGTTAAATTTAGCTAAAAATCATTAGAAAGAACTGATAACAAACATAGAATAGGCAAATGGGTGAAATTTTCTTTTCTGTCTGTCCTCTGACAGCCTTGCTAGGACTTAGCCATCCTACACCACCATCTCTCTTTTCTATCCCACAACAAGTGTCTTCAGAGAGCAAAGATTATCACCTAGATATTAGTCTGTTACACTTCGATAAGGTTTTCATTGTTACTGGGTGCTGATGATCTAACTTGTTGTTTCTCCTAGTACGGATAGCGTGCCTTAGTTTAAAAGAATGGTAAGAGAATTTAGTGCAGAGTACAAATTGTTTTGGGAGATACTTACCCAGCAACTTCTAGACAAGTGGGTGGAAGTCAAGGGAAACCTGAGGATATGTAGTCTTTAGTGCAAATTTTAGATTTTTTTCCATTTAACACCTATCAAAATCGAAAGTTCACTTATGGGGTCTCTTTTTAATCTGAACAAATACAGAACTTTTTGTCAGTATTATTCATTAGGGAATGAGATGTTTCAAAAGCTCCTTTTTTTAATAAAGATGGTATTACTCTGTGCCTTTGCAAAACAAAGACATGCGCCAACTGCCCTGATAGACACAGTTATGAGTGTTTTCAGAGGTGGTTTGAGCAAATGTAAGTTTGATTCTGTTATCTTCTATGGCAGAAATTAAAAGAATCATTCCAGGATTACAGAGGAAAATTCTCAATTGGTCATCATAATAGAGCAAAGTAACTTCAAAGCTCTGTGCTTATTTGGGAATGTATTTGTTAACATATAGTTATTTTGGCTTTCCGCAGGTTAAGACTACCTCCATGGCTAAAGACAGAAATTCCTATGGGAAAAAATTATAATAAACTGAAAAACACTTTGCGGAATTTAAATCTTCACACAGTAAGTTTTCTTACTGTTAAGGGTTAAGTATCCCTCTTTACCAGAAGACATAATTTTTCTATGCATATATAACTTGAAAATTAATAAAATACATATTGAAAATAGCAAGGAAAGTAAATAAAGACATTTTCACATTACTCTCAGTAATGGAAATACATTTAAAAGTTATTTTCCCTGCAAAAAGAAGCAAAAAATAATTGTATTTCTTAGCCACTTATTTAATAGTACAAACTAAAAAATTTTTTTCTGCATTTAGGGAATGAGAGTTTTTGTTTGTTTTGTATTACAAATTAAGTACATGCTTGTTGGAAAGGATATATTAAATGTGAAACATACTATATGAAATCTCAAGTGTTTGTTATACCACTTTAACTATTCAACATATACCCTTGCGGACTTTTTTATTTGTACATATAAAACATATACATTCATAGTTTTTAATTTAAAAATGGAATCCTAATATCTGTGTGGTTTGGCAGTTTAACAGCATTTCCAAATAGTGAATTTCCTAACATACTGTATAAAGAATGGAGAGTATAAAATGCCTGATGACTAATTTGCTCAATTGGTAAATATTTTCAGCCTGATTGTCTTCAGTCCCCTTTTACTCATAGGTGTGTGAGGAAGCGCGATGTCCCAATATTGGAGAGTGTTGGGGAGGTGGAGAGTATGCCACCGCCACAGCCACAATCATGGTAAGGTACCCTCAGATTCCAGAGTTTTAGTCTGGAAACTGAAAGGAAATGTTTTATGTCTTTTTCCTACAAATGTGCATTTTGAGTCTCAAAAAAATATGATATTTTTTGTTACATATCAGTTTGTCGGGGGGAAAAACTTGACGGAATAATCTAGCTTGTTGTGATCTCACCTTTCTCTGAATAAGTCTGTTATTGATTCTTCCATCTACCTGATAGAATATAATAATTAATTATGTGCTACCTTCAACTACCTCTTCTATTAATTTATATTTCCCTCTCACGGGCCTTTCAGTTAGCCCATGGTCATCTGATCTTGAGTGCGCTAAACTGGACTCCAGGAAGTAGGTTGGGCTCAGATCTCTGCAGAGCTTTATTCTTGGACCAGCTGCTCGCCAAGGATATTCTTATCACAGAGGATGGAAGGAGCACAAGAGGGCAAGCCAAGCATCCATGCACATTTGAGGCTTATGCTTGGTCATGCCTGCTGTCATTGTATCGGCCAAAATAAGTCACATGGCCATGCCAGACGTCAATGGGAGTAGAGGCCTAAGTTCCTCCCCCAGAAGGCGGGCCCTGCAAGTTACATGGCAATGGGTAAAATGTACGATCTTAATATAATGGAGTAAGAAATGGAATTCACAATGCAGTCTACCATATTTATTCATACAAAGAGATTGAAATACTGGGTTAAATCTAAATTATTTCTAACTTAAAGTTCATACTTGTCTGGGGAATGTCTGATAAATGAGTTATACCAGCAAGAGACTATTTACATGAGAAACGAGATTTGTGTGAGATAGAGCTCCTTCTAGAATAATACAGAGCCTGCGAGAGAGCTTTTCTAAGTGATACAACATCAATTCTTGAAGGAAGGAGTTATTCTGAATACTCCCTGATGGAAACCTCTGGTTTTACCCCTTGCCTGCTCTCCGTGATCACTGTTGGTGCCTAGTGACTCCTGGGAAGTTCCATTGTTTCAGTAACATTCTGTGAGATGGTGGGCCTAATTACCATGGCAGTGAGTTCCTTCTGAGCAGTTAAAGGGGAAGCATTGCTTCTGCCTCAAATCAAAGCCCCTAGCATAGGGCCTTGAAACTCCAGTGGCTCCGAAACATCCGCAGTGGCTGTGGTTGGCCAGGGGTAGAGCATGGTAGTGACCCGAGGCAGCAGAAGCAGTGTCCTGGGGAAACAGCAGGGAATCCCGTTACCAACTTTTTATGTGTTTTTCCTCTTTCATCTGTTTAACAAGAGAGAGCTATGCCTTCTGTTTAACTTCCACAGAGATCTGCATATTGATAGGTTAATTGAGTATTTTGTTTCTTTTAACATCATTTTTGTTAAAATTAAATAGATATAAAAGAATTTTTATAACCTATGTGTAAGTTATAAAGACTACCAATACACGGATACCCTGATACCTCCAGTTGGAGAACAGAACATTAGTCTTTCATCCCTTCTAGAGCCCATCCCCTTTCTTTTTCCCTTTAAGGGAACTTATTCAGAGTTTATTGTTTCCTTTTCTTTCTTGTTTTACCATATATGTTTGTATTCCTTAACTATATTGTTTAGCTTTGAATGTTTCAAATTTCACATAAACGGTCAAGATTTGTTCATTCCTTGAGGTTTTATTGCCTTACAATTATATTCTTCAAAGTCATCTGTTTATTTGATTTAAGCTGTAACATCTCTGTTCTAGTTGATGGGAGACACATGTACAAGAGGTTGTAGATTTTGTTCTGTTAAGACAGCAAGAAATCCACCTCCGCTGGATGCCAGTGAGCCCTACAATACTGCAAAG